TTCAAAACTCCTACAGCTTATAGTGTGTGAACCCATGAGACCTGAAAGAGTCCATGGGTGCAGTTTCTGCTTACATAAACTAGACTGTATCATGGTGTATGAACAAAGTTCTCTGGACTAAATCAGGAGTTCTGGGATCCAGAGTTAGTCCATCTCTCAGAGCTGAGTTACCTTGGACAAGTTATTTACTCATATGCTCCAGATGAGGTTGTCGGTGTTAGAATGTGCCAGCAAGTCACTGATTACCAAATGGAGTCATCTAAGAACCATTTAACAAGTATAAACCACTAATAAGTATTGGTATTATATTAGTATGACAATAAGGCAAAATAATTGGAACCCAAGGCCATAAAGTATTAGTGTTTTTAATAAGTAAAAGTATATTTAATAAGTATTTAAAACCACTGTTTCATAATTATAAACCACTGTTCTAGTAAGTTATTTTCTTAGATAGTTTAGCTTCTAGGCAAATCACCTAGAAGTTCACTGGGTTTATATTTTAGAACCAAAGTTGCTATGGTATAGCATGTTATTTTCTTTCTATGGCACATAGTATCTCTTATCTCATAAAAGCCTTCCCCCTACCATTACCATTTCCATTTTAGCAGACCCCAAAACAGTGCATATAAACCAGGGATCATCATGCTTTTGGCAAAATAGAAGCCTCCAAAGAGGAGGGACCCATACAGGTAGGATTGCTGAACCACTGTGAGGAACACCCCTCCCAAGGCAGGTAAAAGTGGTCACGTGCCTTAACGAGAAAACAGAGATCCAAGAGATTAGGGACCATCTGTGTCTTGCCCACCGGTTGCCAGCTATGTTAGCTCAGTATATGTTTGGGGCATAATCTATTCTGTGAGAGAGGAGAGGTCAACAGAGCCATGCATACTGGTGCTTTGAAATGTGGTCCCCACAATTTCCCCACTGACAGAACCCATCTTTTCTCTCGCCTCCCTGGGATTCGTTCTCTTCTGAGACCTACACCTGTTGGTCCAACTCTTACCTCTTCTCCAGTGTGTCTTGCTCTGCTTTAGCCTTTCAGCCTCTCCCCCACTTCTTGGGGTCTTCTTTCTGCTAATCAGCCTCAGATTGGGTCAATTAGATTAACCTGGTCATTCTCCTCCCAAGAACTATGTATCTTTACCCATAGCTGTAGAACACAAGATGTCCTAAGACTGCATTAGTCGGTCACGGCTAGTCATTTCTTCTCAGAAAGCCTTCTCAGAAGCTACCCAGTTGTGGTTCCATCCAGCCAAGGTGGCTCAGGGCTCCATGAGCTCTGCTGTGTGATTAGACACTGCCATCTCCTGGCCAAAGCACTAAACCTGGTCCCACGGGTGTGCCCCAGCAGTTCACCCTTGGGCTTAGTTGTGTGCATTCCCCATCTACACTGCCAGCCAGGATTGGAGAGACACTCCTGACCACCGTGCCTCCACATCTTATAAGGCCTACAACTTACAGAATCAACAGCTAGTACTGCCCTGGGGACCCATCTAAAGACCACACCTCCCTCAGAGTTCAGATGCATCTCTCCCATAGACATCAACTTTGGATCCTAGACCTCATTATTTTATCATCCACTTAGCTGGTCCAATGAGTCATCTGAAAGGGATCTTAAAAAGTGCTGTCTTAATTTGGGTGAATACTTGTCTTCATGTGGACTTCTAATCAGTCTCTCCTAGTAACCAGGGTTAGGTTGGGTTTTTTATACAGTAGCTTTGGGAGTTCGATTTCTGATGGATGACTCCATATAAATGTAAAGGAATCTTTTGTTGAGTTATTAATCCGTTCAGTAAGCTGCAGCAGGCATAAGACATCTACTTTTCCAACAGAGAGACTGGCTAACTGACATATTCAACATCTCTATCGAAGCTAAGGAGCTGAGGCCAGAAGTGCTAAATATCTACTCTAGTCTAAAGTCTAAGCCAGCTGAATCCATAGACACTATCCTCTCTCATTCTTCATTCCCAGACCCTACGGCACAGGGGATTCTCTTGGGTGGAGCTGGCTCTTGCCTGCAACATCTGCCAGAATCTACGTAATCGCCAGCCCTGCCTCAGGAATTCCCTCAGGATCACAAAAGGGAAAGATTTCTGTTCCTCTGGCCAGAAGTACCCAGATACCAACGGGCAGATATAATCCCTGAAAACAAGCAGGCCTTCAGGAGTTGAAAGAAACTGCCAGACATAAGTTTCTAGAAGTGGGTCAAAAGAGCCTATGGCCTGAAAGTCTAAATGTGTAGGAAGTTGGTTCCAGTTTATAACGGATTATCCAGTAGACTTGGGACATGAAAGACTCTGGCTTTGCCTGTGTGGACCTCCAAGTCTATCCCAAACGAAAGAGAGATGGAGATTCATCTGGTTCAGAGGGCTTAGTGAATCTGCTTAATTACCATAATTTGGGATATTAACTTTACCCCATGCTCATTTGGTTCTTTAAAGTATTGGATGAAGTTTGAACAAGCAAAACAATTCCCCTCTACACTCTTAGTAGAGCTTAATTTCAAATCATCTGCTTCCTCTTTCCAAAAGACTAATGGAGAAAAGTGATGTTTGTGGAGAACTGATTACAGGTCAAGCAGCACATCCAATTCTTGTTATTGTGCATTCCATCCTCAGCTTGAATAGAACCCTCATGTACTTGTACAATATTTTCTTGGCCTCACACACAATCACGTTTGCTGTGTTATACTTTGGTGTTGTGCCTTCAGCTTTCATCAAGGGATGGTATTAAAAAAAAAAAATAGGCTAATGGAATCCATTACTCTCTTTGTTCCAGCAACATGGGAGATGTTGCTTACTATATCCCTCAGCTCTTGCTCTATAAAGCCCCTCAGGAAAATTGTCTGACAAAGTTGCCTGCTAGGAGAGGCTTTGCATCCCTTGAGTAACAGGCATAATTTTTCCTCAGTTGATAAGAGTATAATAACTGACTCTCCTGGTAATTTGCCTGTCAGGAACTTAGAGCCTTATTCAAAGGTCAGAGACTCAGGCTCCAATGGGAGGACATGGCTTATCTAGCACTGATGGGGTTGTTTCCTACATGGGGTTGGAGACCCCAGACACAGGAGGCTAAAATATCTTGTTCTGGGCTGCCCAGAATGAGATCTCAGTCCATGGGGCTCCTGAACTAAGTGACCAGCAGAGATTGTTTTGGAGGAAGCTTTCCCTGCTAGCCTATCAAGTTACTGAACTTGGGGCTTATAGAGGATAATCCTTCAAGGTCCCTAGCTTGTAGCTATGTTACACTTCCTTTAAAGGCAAAGTTATTGGCCTATTCCCCACAGGTTTGTTTTGGTTTTGGGTTTTTGGTTTTGTTTGTTTTTGTCAAGTAGGGAAGAGGACACAGACTTCTAGCTATTTGCAAATGTACTATCGCACATATACCCTGGATTAATTATCTCAGATTTTTCTCCTCCTCGCCTGCCCATTGCAAGCTGCTTCTTTCCATTACTTAAACTGATGAGCTCATCACTTGTCACTCTGCTGGACACAGTGGCCCCCATGACTGTCCCCCTCTCAAATTCAGGAAGGCAAAACAGTAATTACATGTCCAAAATGTCAGTCTTGCCACTCAGTAGCAGGAGCAGAACTCAGACCTACCCCTCTGAAGTTTGGAGGCCCACTGTAGACGCTGCTGCCCTGGGTCCCAGCTGCTCAGGAAGGAGTGTTTCCACAGTGCCATTGTTGACACCAGGAGGAGATTGGGTGTTTCCTCTTACTCTTATCTGTCTCCACGTGGATCTCACCCCCACCAGCAGAAGTACTCCAAGCCTCTTCACTTTCCCTAGTCTTACCCCAGAATTAATGTGGAAATGTCTTTCCCTCACAGTGTGGACTCATGGTGCGGCCTCATAGGATCACTATGGTGTGGTCTTGTGGAATTAGTGGTGCTTTGGCATATTTCCCCAAACCTGGGTCATTCCACATTGGCTATGGTTAGGTTATCCTAGAAAGGGTCATTAGCTATGGTTAGGTTATCCTAGAAAGGGTCTCCAAGAGATAGGTCCGGGTTTTAACAAAACAGAAGCCACAGTATATACCTATGTTCACATGTAAATCCAATACTTCCTACATTAAGTATATCATAGTGTCAAAATACTATGTGATTTTAAAGTGGTAATTGTACCAACTATGACTTATAGCTTTGATTTTGATTTTAATTTTAAAATTAGTACGATATAGTAAACAAATTCTAACACAACAAACACTATTAATCTACTTCATAATCTTGACTGCCATGACCCTCCAATAGAGTATCCTTCCAAAGATATTCCAGGTCTATACAATTTGATTAATGAGTTTTTATCAAACTTCTGTAAAGTTAGGATGAAGTTAATGGATTTTCTGTAGTAAGGTCTAACTTTAATATCTTGGAATGAGATATTTCCTTAGTAGGAGTAACTGACATAATTACTGGCAACCAGCCTGCAAAATCATACAAATATTATTTATGAACTGACCAGTTGTGGTAGCCCCATCATTTTAGATATCCTTTGCCTTTTATAGCAGTCTTCTTGATTTCATACTTTGGCATACGTTTCCCAGGAAATTAAAATCTTTAACTCACCCTGAGGGCTTGATGATCAAATAAACAATAATTATGAAATACACTTGATTAATAGAGTTCATCCAAAAGAAGGGTGCTGCCCAATTTTAATTTATCTGGAATCACTCTAATGTCTCAAGTTATGTAATATTAAAAAAAAAAAACCTGAGTTGCGATTTTTATCATCGTTTTGTTATTGCCTGATTAAATCCCAAGCAAGCCATTCAGTTTAAAGAGACGCCAGATGATGATTAATAGCAACCCCACTGTCTAATGAATTCCACAACCAGGTTAATTTGTTCTTGAAATATATGTGCATGGAATTGAAATTCTCCCAAAGCCAAGGCAATAGTGGAGCTGCCATCTTGTCCCCACTATCTGGGACAAATAACCCTTGATCTTCCTCACACTGGACACTCTGGCAGGACAGGCAGGGAAGTAAAGTGGCTCAAGGACCCTGCAGTGGCCTTGCCAAACTTTCCTTAGAGTTGCACTGAGTCTAAGAAGCTTCCATGCAACCTTACTTCTTTCCTCTGGAGTTAGACATGCAATGCAGCCTAATGGCTCTCTCAGCCTCACCCGGCTGCTCCGCCATTTTCCCCGATAGGCACTTTCTCTAATAAATTTCTTGCCTGATGTCATCTATATAGTGGGTCCATGCCACATTCCACAGGGTGTCCTCATGGTTCAGATCTCTTTGAGCCAGATTGCAACCCTCTGGCTGCCACTCTGACCACGCTGCTGATGACAATGATTGTGTCCACTGGATTTCTGATGCTTATGCGCTATCTCCTGCCTCTACTGTTTCAGAATCTGATCATGCTCTTTGCTCTCAGTGGTGCCAGTCCTGTAGTGGCATCTCCATTTGTCACCTCTGGCCTACAAAGGCAGCCACCACTGAACTTCTTAGCGATGCTGACGCCCTTCTCATTAGCTCATACTCAATGTTCTGGTAGACAGTGTCTCCTCCGTGCCATCCTGTGAAGCAGTTTAGGCCAGCTGAAACTCTTCAAAGGATTGACATCTTTTTTCTCCTACTTCTACGTCTGGTCATAAGGGACCCTGATGCTGCCTAGGGTGTGACCCGAGGGTAAGACACTAGTGCAACAGTGATGAGGTCTGGGCTATCTGTTTTGATGCTTTGTCCATCAGCTCTGTTCATGCTTGATCCTGGAGTACCATTCCATCTACCCAATCTAAAGATTTTTGGGTTCTGGTTTAACCCAAATTTATGAAGGGCAGTGTTGCTGCATAGTTGCTTGGTATAGCGTATTCAGATGCTCCATCTACATCAAGGCCCAGTAGCAAGCCAGAAGCTGTTTTTCAAACGGGGTACAGTTCTTGCTGTAAATGACCTTGTCCAGAACCCTAGCAATCTGCATTGTGATTCTCCCATTGAGAATTATATGGATTCCACATGGCATCTTTCTCACCCAAGAAACTTCCTTTGGGGTAGAGTACCTTTTCTCCCTGATCAGCCTAGCCAGCCTAGCACATCCCCAGCTGGGTTTTGTTGTGATTGAAATCTACTTACTGACTGAGTATAGATCTGGAGCGGGGGTGTTGGGGTTCTGCATCACCATGAATCCCATTAATAGGGAAGACTGGATAAGTTCTGCAGGTTTGTGGGTTCCGAGGAATCCAGGGATTTGAAGATGACCCCATTCTGTCCCAACTAGGACCCTGACCTTGGCATTGCATACTTGCCTAGCTGCGAAGTGAATCTTCTTCAGAGCTCTTCTATATTTATGATTAAGTCCAGAGCCTAGTCCTCTGTTTTCTCTGGCTTCTGGTGAAGGAGACAAGAGCCTCTTTAGATGCTATAAAGAAGGCCTCTGGCTTACCTTTTAGTTACTGATTAAACACTCAACTTCCTGTTATTTTTCCAAAATACCAATTGCATTTAGCAAAAGCCACCTAATTCCACTGTACGTGTGGTTAGTATTTCCCCATACTTCTCAAACACCTGACCCAGTGCACCTGCTAGTTCATTTCCTTCCACTTCACCATCAGCAAACATTTTAACAATTTCAACCTTTTAATAATTCAGCCTTGTGCCAGGGGTTATCAGTACTCCACGCATCATCAATGATGGGGTCTGTGCTAGTTTCCTAGAGCTGCTGTAACAAATGACCACAAACTACATGGCTTAAAACAATAGAAATTTATTTTTTCATAATTATGGAGGCTGGAAGTCCAAAATCAGTGTGTCAGCAGGGCTATACTCCCTCTGAAGGTTCTCGGAAAGAATGCTTCCTTGCCTCCTCCAGTTTTTGATGGCTCCAGATGTTCCTTAGCTTGTGGTAGCATCCCTCCAATCTCTGATCCCATCTTTACTTGGCCTTCTCCTCTACGTCCTCTTCTCTTGTCTTTATAATCCACCTGTCACTGGATTTAGGGCCCACCTTAATCTACCACGATCACACCTCAATCCTGAACTAATTCCACCTGCAAAGACCTTATTTCCAAATAAGGTCACATCCTGACGTTCTGAATGAACGTGAATTTGGGAGGTGGGTGTGCAGTATCCAGCTCACTACAGGGTCCTTCTGGCCAGCTGGCTGGTGACAACCCAGCTTCAGGATCCTTTCTTAGCACTGACTTTCTTGGATCATTCCTGGCACTAACTGTTGCAGGTTGGGTCCCCAGGAAACTGCCTCTGAGACAAATAATAGTGTACAGGAAGTTTATTAAATGTTGCTCTTAAGTTGAACACATGTGGAAGGGATGGATAGAAAAGAAGGATTCAGCAGAAAGGGAATTTGAACCACCGTATGGTTACACAAAGACCTCGCCAGACTCGACAGGAATCTCTGAAGCTGAGATGACCCCTTATTGTTCTCAGTTGGATCAAGGGGGCAGAGGCATCAATGAGTAGGAATAATCAGTCACTGAATGTGGACTGTTCTAGGAAGGGGCTGTGCCCTCAGGCAAAGTGCCTCTCTTCAGGCAAGACATGAAGACTGATAGCTAAGTGTTCTCAGTAGTAGGTGAAAAATACTTCACTCCTGAAGAGGTGTCTGGGTGACATGGGACACCATCCACTATACCTATCATTGATCAAGACTGAATTAACTTATTTTTATAAAACTAACTATTTTAGACAGACCATTGTTTTTATTCCCAGAAAGATAAATCAGAGGGAGAAAAAAAGCATAAGAACCCTTGAAAAGAAATAAATCTTAGTTGGATGAGACGACTGAAGGGAAGTTTTGAGACATACATTCTGGAAGATGGAGGGAACACTCACCCAAAGTGGAAGCTCCTCCTTCTGAAAACTGGAAGAATGGAGATTGCACTCTGGTGATTGAGTTTAGGGGAGGGATGTAGGAGATGCTCCTCTCTCTCTGATCTGCCCGTCTGGAAGAAGAGTATATGTTCTCCTCTGTTCTGCTCTTCTATACCATCAACTTTTCAGGGGCTGGACCTTGTTAGGGAGACCTGCCAGAGTCCAGCTCAGCTTGTACTGAGTGGGTAAATTTAACTTTGGGTGCAGTATTTGCAAGTCTTTCTGACCAAAAACCTAAATTGCATTTCTCCCAACAGCTTTATCAGCTAAAAAAGGAGATTTTTTGACCTCCACATCATCAATTCCTCTATGTCCCAACCTGTTCTGAACTCAGGTAAAGGAGAGTGGTTACTATTCACAGGGCCCTCCCTCAAACTCCAACATGGTCATCAGTATTAGTGAAGTTAAACACTTTCACTAGAACAACATTTTGGAGTTTCAGAAGTGAACAGGAAAAGAAAGTTGCATCTCAGTCCAAAAATAACCATGTGTATCCATTCAGAGTGCAGGCAGAGACAATTGAGCCTTCTCCTGCTTGAAAAGCAGACAGGGACGTAAAAGGGTGTGAAATGATTTACAGAATTGATGAGAGAAACAGACTCTAGGGCAAGCTTCCAGATATGATTCCAAAGACACCACAGAATTTTTTTAAAATACAATTGACATAACATTATAATTCGTTTCAGGTGTACAACACAGTGATTTGATGTTTGTATATATTACAAAATGATCACCACAGTAGTCCAGTCAACATCCGTCACTATACATAGTTACAGAGAATTTTTTTCTTGTGATGAGAACCTTCAAGATCCACTTTTCTAGCTACTTTGAAATATGCAATACAGTATTATTAACTGTAGTCATCATGCTGTATATTACATCTCCATGATTTAATAACTTTATACCTGGAAATTTGTACCTTTTGACCCCCCTTCACCCATTTCACCCACCCCCACCTCCACCTCTGGCAACCACCAATCTGTTCTCTGTTTCCATGGGCTCAGGTCTTTTGTTTGTTTGGTTGGTTTTTTTTAGATTCCACATATAAATGATAACATATGGCATTTGTCTTTCTCTGTCTGACTTATTTCACTGAGCATAATGCCCTCCAGATCCAACCATGTTGTTGCAAATGACAAAAATTTATTCTTTTTTATGGCTGAGTAGTATTCCATTCTATATAAATAACATATCTTCTTTACCCATTCATCTGTTGATGGACACTTAAGTTGCTTCCATATCTTGGCTATTGTAAATAATGTGTCTGTAAACATTGGGATGCATGTATTTTTTTTGAATAAGTGTTTTCATTTTCTTTGGATATATACCCAGAAGTGGAATTGCTGGGTCATACGGTAGTTCTGTTTTTAGTTTTTGAGGAACCTCCATGCTGTTTTCCACAGTGGCTACACCAATTTACATTCCCACCAACAGTGTTCGAGGGTTCCCATTTCTCCACACCCTTGCCAATGTTTATTATTTGTGGTCTTTTTCATGATAGCCATTCGGACAGGTGTGAGGTAATATCTCATGTGGCTTTGGTTTGCACTTCTCTGATGATTAGAAATGTTGACCATCTTTTCATGTATCTGTTGGCCATCTGTATGTCTTCTTTGGAAAAATGTCTATCCAGGTCTTCTTAAATAAGACCATTTTAAAATTTGGTTGTTTTTTTCAAGTTGAGTTATATGAGCTGTTTATATAGTTTGGATATTCACCCCTTATCAGTAATATCATTTGCAAATACTTTCTGCCATTCCATAGGTTGTCTTTTCATTTTGTTGGTGGTTTCCTTTGTTGTGTAAAAGCTTTTAAGTATAATTAGGTCCCATTTGTTTATTTTTTTTTTCCTTTGCCTTAGGAGAAAGATCCAAAAGAATATATTGCTGCAGTTTATGTCAGAGTGTTCGACATATGTTTTCTTCTAGGAGTTTTATGGTTTCCAGTTTTATATTTAGGTCTTTAATCCATTTTGAGTTTATTTTTTGTATATGGTGTGAGAAAATGTTCTAACTTCATTCTTTTCCATGTAGCTGCCTAGTTTTCTCAGCACTACTTAGGGAAGAAACTGTCTTTTCCCCATTGTATATTCTTGCATTCTTTTGTAGGTAAATTGACCATAAGTGTGTGGGTTTATTTCTAGGCTCTCTATTCTGTTCCATTGATCTATGTGTCTGTTTTTGTGCCAGTACCATACTGGTTTGATGACTGTAGCTTTGTAATTATAGTCTGAAGTCAGAGTGCATGATACCTCCAGCTCTGTTTTTCTTTCTCAATATTGTTTTGGCTATTTGGGGTCTTTGGTATACCATACAAATTTTAAAGTTATTTGTCCTAGTTCTGTGAAAAATGCCCTTGGTATTTTGATGGGGATTGCACTGAATCTATAGATTGCCTTGGGTAGTATGGTCATTTTAACAATATTAATTCTTGCAAACCATGAACAAAGTATATCTTTCCAACTGTTTGTGCTGATTTCAATTTCTTTCATCAGTGTCTTAGAGTTTTCTGAGTCCAGGTCTTTTAGCTTCTTAGTCAGATTTATTCCTAGGTTATTTATTCCTTTGGATGCAATTATAAATGGGATTGTTTCCCTAATTTTTCTCTTTGATAGTTTGTTGTTAGTATATAGAAATGCAACCGATTTCTTTATTTCTATCCTACAACTTTACTGAATTCCTTGATGAGCTCTAGTAGTTTTTTGGTGATGTCTTTAGGATTTTCTACGTATAGTATCATGTCATCTGCAAGCAATGACAATTTTATTCTTCTTCCTTTCCAATTTGGAGTCTTTATTTCTTTTTCTTGTCTGATTGCTGTGGCTTCAAAAACTGTTGACTAAAAGTGGTGAGAGTGGGCATCCTTGACTTGATCTTAGAAGAAATGCTTTCTGTTTTTCACCATTTAGTATGTTGATAGCTGTGGGTTTATCATATATGGCCTTTATTATGTTGAGATATGTTCCCTCTATACCCAATTTTTGGAGATTTTTTATTATAAATTCGTGTTGAATTTTGTCAAAAACTTATTCCATATCTGTTGATGACCATATAATTTTTATTCTTCAATCTGTTAATGTGGTAGCACATTAAGATTTGTAGATACTGAAAAATTCTTGCATCCGTGGGATAAATCCCACTTGATCATGATGTATGATTCTTATCATGTATTGTTGGATTCAGCTTGCTAATATTTTGAGGAATTCTGCACCTGTGTTCATCAGTGATATTGGTCTGCACTTTTCTTTTTGTGTGTCTGGTCTTGGTGTCAGGATGATGTTGGCCTTGTAGAATGAGTTCAGAAGCATTCCTTCCTCTTCAATTTTTTTGGAATAGTTTGAGAAGGATAGGTGTTGACTGTTCTCTAAACGTTTGATAGAATTCACGTGTGAAGCCATCTGATCTTGGACTTTTGTTTGTTGGGAGCTTTTTCAATTACTGATTCAATTTCATTACTGGTAATTAGTCTGTTCATATTTTCTATTTCTTCTTGGTTCAGTCTTGGGAGATTGTACAGTTCTAGGAATTTGTCCATTTCTTCTAGTTCTGTTTTTTTGTTCTTTTGTTTTTCATATAGTTCATAGTAATCTCTTATGTTCCTTTGTATTTCTGTGGGTTTGGTTGTAACTTCTTTTTCAATTCTGATTTTATTGATTTATGCTCTCTTTTTTCCTTGATGAGTCTGAAAATTGATAAACCTTTAGCCAGAGAACCACCTTTTAGTTTCATTGACATTTTCTATTATTTTTTAAGTTTCTTTCATTTATTTCTTCTCTGATTTTTATGATTTCCTTCCTTCTACTAATTTTGGGTTTTGTTTGTTCTTCTTTTTTTAACTCTTCTAGGCATAAGGTTAGGTTGTTTGGGATTTTTCTTGTTTCCTGAGGGAGGCTTGTATTGCCATAAACTTCTCACTTAGAACTGCTTTTGCTGTATCCCATAGATTTTGGATCATTGTGTTTTCATTCATTTGTCTCCAGGTTTTTTTTTTTTCTTTGATGTCTTCAGTGATCCACTGGTTGTTTAGTAGCATATTGTTTAGCATCCACTCTGCTCATTTTTGAATTGGATTTTTTTTTGCTAGTTTTATGAGCTCCATATATATTTTGGATATTAACCACTTATCAGGTATATGAGTTGCAAATATATTTTCCCATTCAGTAGGTTGCCTTTGATTTTGTTGGTTTCGTTTGCCATGCAAAAGCTTTTTAGTTTGTTGTAGTTCCACCTGTTTTTCTTTTGGTGTCAAATCCAAAACATCAGTGCCAAGACCAATGTTGAGGGGCTTACTATGTTTTCTTCTAGGAGTTTTATGGTCAGGTCTTACAGTCATTAATCCATTTGTAGTTAACTTTTGTGTATGGTGTAAAAATAGTGATCTGGTTTCATCTACTGCATGTAACTGTTCAGTTTTCCCAACACCATTTATTGAAGAGACTGTCCTTTCCCCATTCTATATTCTTGGTTCCCTTGTCATAAATTAATGACCATACATGAGTGGGTTTATTTCTAGGTACTCTATTTTGTTCCATTGATCTATGTGTCTGTTTTTATGGTGATACTATACTGTTTTGATTACTGTAGCTTTGTAGTAGAATTTGAAATCAGAGAGTGTGATGCCTCCAGCTTTGTTCTTCTTTCTCAATGTTGCTTTGGCTATTATGGGTCTTCTGTTGTTCCATATAAATTTTAAGATTGTTTGTTCTAATTCTATGAAAAATACCATTGGAATTTGGATAGGGATTGCATTGAGTCTGTATATTGCTTTGGGTAGTATGGAGGGTTTTTTTGTTTTGTTTTGTTTTTTTGCGGTACGCAGGCCTCTCACTCTTGCGGCCTCTCCCATTGCGGAGCACAGGCTCCGGACATGCAGGCTCAGCGGCCATGGCTCATGGGCCTAGCCGCTCTGCAGCATGTGGGATCTTCCCGGACCAGGGCACGAACCCGTGTCCCCTGCATCGGCAGGTGGACTCTCAACCACTGTGCCACCAGGGAAGCCCTAGTATGGAGTTTTTAATTGAAATATAGTTTATTTACAATATTATGTTACTTTCAGGTGTCCTACATAGTGA